AATATTGTCAAGTTCAAGCATGTCTTAAAAAGTATTGCATGCTAGGATTGTATCCAAATTAAACATGGATTTTGTGATCTCGTGCACTTCATGCACTCACTAGTTTATTCACTCTTGAAAAGCGCCTTAAATTCACCTACAATCGTAATTGTACAGATGACTTGGGGAAGAGCCTGTTAGTGAAGAAATATCCAGGAGCTGTGGCATTCAACAACATAACAAGACTTGCATTTGGGGAGCGATTTGCGAATTCTGAAGGTATAATAGATGAGCAAGGACAGGAATTCAAGGCCATCGTTGCAAATGGATTAAAACTTGGCGCGTCTCTTGCCATTGCTGAGCACATCCAATGGTTGCACTGGATGTTCCCACTTGACGAAGATGCATTCGCCTAGATTTACTTTAATATCCCATTTTCCTTTGCATAAAATATTGGTTGAGGCAGCCATGCTAAACAATTTTCTTGTAATGAAATCGCCAATCTATGGACAATCATTATCCCGTAGCTTCTGGAGGTAAAGCAATTTCCTAATATACTGCATAGTTTGTTGCTTATGTAATGTTCTATAAGGTTAAAAAAACTGGAACAGCATATCCTTATATTGCCATCTTAGTTTGAGAGAACAAACAAATGGTTCATACTGACAAATCTATGTTTGTAAACTTACGGGACCTGATCACTGCAGGAATGGACACAACTGCAATATCTGTTCAATGGGCCATGGCAGAGTTGATCAAGAATCCAAAAGGCCCAAGAAGAGCTAGACCATGTGATTGGATATGAACGCCTGATGACTGAACTTGACTTCTCAAACCTTCCCTACCTCATGAATGTGGTTAAGGAATCCCTCAGATTGCACCCTCCATCCCCTCTCATGCTACCTCATCGTGCCAATGCCAACGTCAAAATTGGCGATTATGACATACCCAAGGGATCAAACGTGCACGTAAACATTTGGGCAATAGCACGAGACCCTACTGTGTGGGAGTACCCTTCAGAATTCCGACCAGAGAGGTTCCTTGAGGATGATGTCAATATGAAAGGACACGATTTTTGATTATTTCCGTTTGGTGCTACTGGAAGAAGGGTATGCCCTGGTGCACAACTGGGCATCAATTTGGTTACATCAATGTTAGGCCACCTCTTGCACCATTTCCATTGGGCTCCCCCTAGTGGGATGACTGCAGAAGAGATTGATATGGGAGTAGGGATGTCAAACAAGTCGAACGGCTCGTTGAAATAGGGCTCGTGAGCGGCTCTGGCTAATAATATCACGAGCTCGAGCGCGAGTCGAGCGGGCCTCGACGGGAGGGCTCGTGGATCATCCAAATAGTGACCAAAACGGTCACTTTTTAAAATAAAGTGACCGTTTTGGTCACCTTTTATAGTGACCGTTTGGTCACTGAAATTTTTAAGTGACCAAAACGGTCACTGGACTTTTTATTTTTATTTTTTTCTTCTATTATAAATATCCCCTAATCCCTAATTTTTTTTAATGTCAAAACTTCATTCTCATTTCTCAACTCTCTTTTATATCAATTATCGAGTTTTTACTCTTTTGTGCTATTGCGCAAAATATACAATATCGATTCTTTTTTTACAGTTCAGTTACAATTTTAATTCATCCAATTCTCAGTTCTTACTACATTTATATTTTTACAAGTTATTATATTTGGATTTCATCATAAACAATCGAACAAATGGATCAGCACTCATTTGTTGAGAGCTTGTTCGATACGCGATGTAGGCCACATGTCGAATCGCCTAGGACGCCGCAAAGTCAATTTTCAAATGAATTTGTCGATCTAAATGATACTCATACATGAAGATGTTCACATTCATAGTCATGAAAGCCACAATGCAATTGATTTGGATGATATTAACATTCCCGAAGCGAAACATGAGGACGAAGATGCCAAATTAAACATCCCAAATGCGAGGAAAAAGCGAAAGGGCAAAAAATAAGCAACATGTTGAGATTATTTTACGTTGATTTCAAAGGAAAAAGTCATCGATGACCTCGCAGAATCTAAGGCAGTATGTAAATATTGCCAACAAAGATTAGCATAGTAAAAAGGAATTGGTACCACCCATCTTAACCGCCACTACAAAGTATATGCGGTCAGACATAGACTTCTTCAAGCTAGTCAAACACAATTGCAATGTGGCAGTCGAGGCGCATGTTCTACGATTTCACCCTATCCACGTGGGTGTATTCGAAAGACAATAGTCGAATCGAAATGATGAAATTTGTTGCCGCCACTGAGTTGCCTCTGGCTATTGCTGACAACCAACACTTCGTCTCGTTGTGAAATAATATTACCAAGGTACGTTGGGATAAGTCGAAACATTCTTTTTGTCGATACAATACAATATTTTAATGATTTAAAACAACAATTAATTATGAATTTGCAACAATATAGGGGATTAATAAAAGAGCATATATAGCTGCAACAGCACACTATATAGACCCACTTTGGTCATGCATAAAAAGTTATTGCTTTTAGAATTATTGAATTTCCTCACAATGCTAATAATATATATAATACTATTATCAGTATTGTTAGAGAATATAATTGCGAGACTAAAATTCAATCTTTTACTTTCGATAATGCTAGTATTAATAAGGTAGTCGTCGATAAATTGTGTAGGGTACTTCAACTTGATTTCGGTGGGTATTTATTTCATATTCGTTGTGTGTGCCATATATTGAATTTAATTGTACAAGATGACTTAAAACATATAAATGATGGACTTCAAAGGATTACGATCTTTCCTAATAGAAAATAAGCATTTGAAAATTTTTATGCTGAACTAGAGGTGATGACTGCTGAAACATTTGTTAACGACATAAGTCATAGATGGAACTCTACTTGCTATTAAAGTCATGTGAAGGTTTCGAACATTTAATAGCTGACTTTTATAATTATAGACATGTTAGAAGCGATGACGATGGTATGTTGAATAAATCCGATTGGGTTTTAGCTTTGAAAATTAAACGATTTTTAACATCTTTTTATGAGACCACAAAGATTTTATCGAGCGTTTATTATCCCACAAGCTGTATGGTGCTTGAAAGCCTTTATATAATTGCAAGAATGTTCCATAAATATAAAAATGATCCTGATTTTAGTAAAATTATAATTGCTATGGATTTAAAGTTTAGAAAATATTAGGAAGAACTGCCTATGTTATTTCCTTTAGCATGCGCAATGGACCCTCGATATAATATTTTGGAAACTAAATACGTAATTGATCAAATCAATAAAACCTTAATACTTATACACCTATCACCTATAAGAATTTAGAGCAAATATTATATGTAATGTATGATTTATATGCGGAACGAATGGGTGCGATTGTTAGTCGGGTACCATCTGCACCTACTCCTTCGATTGAAATTGAAGTAGATGATGCCGAAATAATGAATATATTTCAAGACATTGATACATTTAGATATAATGCAACTGCAATGTGTTTATCTAGTGTCATGTCGTCTATACTTGCATCTCATCAAACATCGACGGCAACTCAGAATGTGATACCCGCCGAATTAATTGATTACTTCAATCATAATATGTCAACAGACAGAATAATTAAAAAAAAGTTCAGAAGAAGTAACTGAATTCTGGCGAAAGTTCGAAAGACGTTGGCCAATTGTTTTTGCAATTACAAAAGATCTGCTGACACTCTCGATTAGCACTGTTGCTTCGGAGTTTGTTTTTAATGCAGGTAAAAGGATTTTGACCGATATCAGGAGCTTGCTGAAAGAAGATGTTTTGGAAGCGTTAATGTGCGTGAATGATTGATAGGACGCTCATTTTTTACTACAAGATAAATACGTTGAAATTGCATGTCGTCAGGTAAGTGATATTTGATTTAATTATATTAATCAAAATTTTCTTATTTTTTAATCGTTAAATTTAATTTTCTTTAAAAAATCGTACACGAAAAATTGTACACATTACAACAAGTTGTTCGTGTACAATTTTTAATTCCGCCTACTTAAAATTGATGTAACCGGTCCCAACCCCGGATAAATGAGGAGGGTTTACGTTTTATCTACTTTAAAAAGAAATCGAAAAAAATGTATTTTTTGTAAATATATTTAAAAAAACAATTCGTCTTCGTTATATAAATATTTTATACTTTATAAAAAATATTACAATATGATAAAAAAAAATGTCTTCATTAAATTATTTTTTTTAAAATGCATTAAATTATTTGTGTTTTTTTAGCATTTTTTATTTTTTCGAAAAGTGTTTTCATTAAATTATTTGTATTTTTCTGTATTTAAAAAAAAATTTAAAAATTGACGAGCTCGCGAGCCAAAACTCAGCTCGGCCCAAGAGCTCATGGCTCCCACAAGCTCGCCCAAAATGAACGAGCCGAGCTCAAGTGAGGCTCGACCCATTGACATCCCTATATGGGAGAGAGCCCTTGTTTGGCCACCTATATATGAAGACTCCATTGCAGGCTGTACCTACTCCCAGATTACCAGTAGAATTGTACAAACTTTTGGCCGTGGCTGTGGACATGAAATTTATTGAATTTACGAAGAAAAAGAAAAGATTTGTGTTCGTTTGCCAGAATGAGTTTTGGTAATCTTCATCGGGGTTGGACAACCTTGTTCCAATGTATAATTTGGCATCATAAATAATCTCAAATTATACATGTGGTTGGGAGCTTTCAGAACCTCATAAAAAGTTCATTTCGTACTCGTATACGTGAGAATAGATAAGAAGCAAGTACTCGTATACGTGAGAATAGATAAGAAGCAACTTTCATCATGCAATTGAGCCCCTATTTGACAATTATTCTTTTAAAACTCCTTTCCTCATCTCATTTTCAATCACGCATTCTTACAATAAAATATTTTTCACATAAATCAAAAACTTTTTTCCTATTTTTTAATCACATTTTCCAAAAATTTACAATTCAAAAACTCGTTCCACACAAAAAAATGACTGTCAAATAGGGATTGAATTAACGGGTTTTGCTAGAGTGACAAGGCCACACCACATGCACCCCCTGTTCGTCCAGGGCCACAAATAGCGAAACCCTGAATTGACTGAGGTGATGACACTGGATGAATAGTGAAACCCTGAATTAACTGAGGTAATTCACTTCATTCATCACAAAGGTAATACTAGAAAGCACGGCATAGATGATATATATAGTTTAACATTTTTAAAGTGATTTGAAGTGAAATATACACACTTCCACTTTCCTTCAATAGAGTTCTTGATTGTTAATGACGATAGTACAATGAAGTAGAAAAGTCTTGCGAGACAGACGTGGTAATCGCAACACAGGGTTAAATGCACTAAAAATACAAACTACAGCATCTGTTAAGGTAATTGGATTGCAGAAAACATATCATGATACTAACTGCAGCAAAGAGATCATAAATAAAGAGGAAAAACTCTATGCAAATACGGAAGGACAGCATAATGCATGGTTAACAATGACCTGCAGTGGAATTGTTAAAACGCCTTGCCGTTGTCATGTAGGTTCCAACATTCTGATCCCAGTAGGTTAGCACCTGAATGTCCTCATCCAATTTTGAATTGAGTTGTGCAAGTTGATTAGGGTCGATGGCCATCCTATCCATTTCAGAGAGTGACCATCCAGGATACTCTTCACCTTTAACATCAGTAGGCACATCAGCAGCTAAGGCAGAAGAGCTAGTGGGAGCTTCTGCAGTCGGGGCAATCTTATTTGCACCCTCATCCGCTCCAGCATTCAGATCGAAATTCCTTAATTCTGAATCGGCGCCATCATTGTCTTTGATGTTCTCCACTGATGCTTCCTTCACTTCTGGACAGTTATCCACTTCTTCCCTGGGACTCGGGATTTGTTTGCCTCTATCCTGAATGGGTGTCAGAGAATCAGATTCAACCTCGTGTCGAGGAGGCCCTCTTTCTGTTGTCCGGGTGCCCCGACCACGTCCCCTTCCTCTACCCCGTCCTCTTCCCCTGCCGCTACTTGCATGGCATATTTCCTAGTGCAGCACAAACAATTTTGCATTTCATTAACAAGCATGTGATAAGTGGTAAAGAACATCAGTGGTCAAATGCAGTAACAGGTCTATTTAGTACATTTTATCCACCAATACAGAGAGAAATTTATTATACAGAAGACTGAAAAGTACAGCTTCAAAATGTGGAATACCATGAATAATATGTGGCCTAATAGGTCAATCAGTGATCCCTCAGATTTAGACCAAATTAAGTTAAAACACCTGTCTTTCAACTTTATTACGAACTATTAGGAAATGTGTTTTGAGGTGATCTCAGTAGATGAATTAGCAAAAATTCAATGAAAAGAATCTTACCATATTGCTCCTTTTGGACTCTTCATCACTGTCGTTAAATTCATCAGCCACAACTTTCCTGGTTCAAAGGGTTAAAATTCATATTAGTAGTTAGCCATTAACAACAGGAGGATTGGAAAAAAAAAAACAAAATAACAAATGAATATTACCAACCTTCTCTTTGATGTGTCAGCAGCCGTGTCAGACTGACCGTAGTCAGGAACCTTGCTGACAACTTCCTTCAGAAAGTCAAAAACATTATAACTGTGAACGCACTTTTTTCTGCACGTGGTAAAAAGTATACATTAGAAGCTGCAGCACTATATACATGTACTTAAACATGAAGTGCATGGGCACAACGTGATGGTGATGAATTGGGAAATATTAAAAAGGGGATTTTTTCTATTGAAAAGTATTTTCACTTTAACTATTTGTTTTATCTATTGATTATAACCCAAAAAGATTTCAAGGGAAGAACAAAATAAATTTGTTACACTCAAATCACTACAATTAAACATGTATACCAATGTTTTCCGAGCTTAATCTTCCAATTGTAAATGTACTACAGTCACCTTTCAAAAAAAAATTGTAAATGTACTACAGATAGCTAAATCTATTATGGTTCAACATTCCTCCGAATGCTTATTGTAAGGATTGTCCATTTGCCGAATTCAATCTTTCCAATGTAACATGGGACAACCTTAGGAGTATGTCTGTTCATGAGCAATGAAACAGAGGGAGAACAGGTCTCAATATTCCATGGATTAGAACTAGTTAACAGATATTCTAAAACAAAATTAAGCACTTACTATAGAATATCTCTAAAGGAGCCTTCTTTGCAGATGAAAAGAATTCAAAATACTCCCTATTTAAATTTGCTTTTTTATTGAGCCTTTTAATGTTTATATAATTATGTCCCTGTTTGTTTCTCATTCTTTCTCCATTAAAATGAAAAATATAATCGTTATCCATCACATCAAGCCACCAAATTTGAATTTCTATCTTTTGTGTGAGACCCATAACAGCTATATTTTTCATTCTCATTCTTAACAAAATGGGAAACAAACGGGGCCTATATCAAATTGTCTTGCTCCCAGTAGTAGTAAATGCTTTATCCTCATTCTTAAGAACAGGACCTAATGCTCGGTAAGTAAACTATTGTGTAGTTCAGATATTAATCACATTCATTTTCTGCTTGATGAACCATAATAGCAAATAGATTTGGAGACTTGGATCCTATTTGCTAATGGCACTACAATTCCATTTAACACTTCCCAGTTGTCAATCCTATCATCCATTGTTACAATTCCATTTAACACAGGTTATCACATTCAGACCTCAACATGATGGAAATGACAAAGAACAGATAGTGGCTGAGTGGGTGTGTTTTCAATTGAAGGTCAAACTTTAGGCTCTAGTTTTATAGTAATTAAGTATTTAATTTCTCAATGTATTTAGTAAACTAACTTCCAGGTCGAATTATGCATACATGTTCACAGTTTCAAACAAGTTGATCCACAAAAACCCTATGGAGCATTGGCTGATTGGAAACTACTGATTTATCAGAAATGTGTATTGGATGACTTTTATTGGTAAAATATTGGACCGGTTTTTCTTCTCAACATTCCTCCATTTCAGTTTCTCTCTCCTACCTTTTCTTCCTCTCTCTTTCTCCTACAACTCTTCCTGTAACACACTTCATAGCCTCATATCTCCTTTTATTTTCCAATCACTCATTGCTATAACAAGATTTCAATCATCTGCTGTGAGGTAGAAACAGTCTCAAGGAGGATATTAGGGTTTTTGTATGTCTTGCATCGCAAGATTCATACTAAAAGTCTTCGTTAGCAAAAATTGTCTGGAGTACAGTGTGTACACACCAAGACCAACCACCAAGAAATTCAGTACCTGATAATCCAACCTTGTTGAGCTCTCTTTCCCAATTGGAAATTTGATAAAGCTAAAAAGAAAACTAAGTCCCATAGATCTTCAAATTACCAGCCATACAAGCCTGATTGTTACAGTTTTATCTTCATATAATACTCATAAATTGCTCCTTGCACGTGCTTCAGACATCTATTCTTGAGTTAATTACCCCAAACACCACTGAATTTTACCTAAAGTTTCCAGCAGGTCATTGAACTTAAAAAACGCCATTCATCACTGAACTTTTGATATTGCTACCCCATCCATCACCAAACATAAGTCTATCAAAAAACTTAACTGAAATCATGACGTGGTTGATGAAGCTCATGACGTGGCCCTTTTTGTAAGTGATTTTTGCCAAATCGTATAAGTGCTAGTGAAGTGTTAAAATGCAAACACGTTTTTTACCTAAAAAAAATTAAATAAATTTTAAAAACAAAAACCCAAATCAAACCCCCCACCCTGTTCTCCCCCAATTGCCAACAGTTACCCATTTCCATTTCCATCCAATTGAAACCCAAAACCCCCTTCTCCCGTCGACGACAAATGCTCGGCCAGAAAATTGAGAGACGATTCTGCAAGTCGATGATGTAGAGCTTCTAATCCCGAGCCAAGATCCTGCAAATCGCGACCGCAAGAACCACAAAACCTCCAAGCTCAAGAACCCTAGAAATCCGAACCTGCAGAGAACCCTAAAATTGCGTGGAGAAGATTAATGATGGTAATAAATCTGTCGAGGAATTTCTTTTGGTTTTACTTGGTGCAGCAATTTTGTTCAATCTCATAGCTTCAAATTTTGAGATTAAATCTCCAGGAAGTCGGTGAACGAGGTGAGGACCTATACATGACACAAGATATTCTGAATGAGGATAAGAAATTTTACATCGTTGGATTCTACATATTGTTGCCGGTTGCTATAACATTTTTCCCATTCTAAGTAGTGTAGCTCACAGCTCAAGCGTTGGTCTGGGGAAGGCCGAATTTGTTTGTAGTGTGGATGGTGAACATAAAGGTGGTGTTGCTGTAATTTATTTCCAGTGTGGACGATAGATTTGTTTAGTGTGGATGCCTTTGTTTCGGTCATTTTTTGGTTAGACGGTCTGCTCCCATTTTGTAGCACTCGTTTTGTGGATCTGTAATGTCTTTCCGTTTGCTGTAGTGTTCTTGCAATGTGTATCAGTTTGCTAGTGAAATGGCTTTGGACATGGCTACAAGTATGTTGGTGTAATATGTTTCAAATTAGAGTTTGTTTCAATTCCAAAATTCCAACAGGTTCTTGTGATTATTCAATACCAAAATCATTAAATTGCAGCGTCTAATAAAAAACTGAAATGATACACTGAACAGAAAATGTATTTCCATTTCTTGCCAACACTGGAATTACATAAGAGGTTTTCAAAATAAGTGTCTAGGCCAAAATAACTAAACAAATTTTCACATTTGGTGTATCCGACATCTCGGTCCAATAATTCAAAATAAGGAATTATCCAAAAATAACAAAACGTATTCTGCCATTAGTAGCATCCCATCCTCGATCATTTTCAGGCCAAAATAACTTAACAGATTGTCACATTTGGTGTATCCGACATCTCGTTCCAATCATTCAAAATAAGGAATTATCCCAAAATAACAAAACATATTCTGCCATTAGTAGCATCCCAACCTCGATCATTTTCAGCAGTCATCAACAACTTGCTGATCCTCAGTTGCACTTGCACCAGTATGTAGCACGTTCGTCACTTTGTAGAACCGTTTGTTATGTCCCTTTACTCCGCACACTGAACATGTCATAAACACCATACCCTTTATCTTTACTGATATTACTGATTGTGATTTTGTTTGTGATTGAGAGGTTTCATTCTCTTCAGGTCCTTTCCTTCTCTTTCTTTGTTTCCTTCCTTTTGTAGCAACGTACCAAGGTGGATGCTTAACAAGTGGTTGTTCAGTTTCAGGCCACAACTCTTTGTCGTTCATTGGATATATAAAATGTTCATATGTGCTCAAGTAGGTGTCAATTGTAAACAATTCCGACACGTAATCCTTTATCTCATTTCCTTTGTCTAAGATGATAGCAATAGCCTGTGAACATGGGATTCCTGATATTTCTCATCATTGACAAGCACACGTTTTGTTCTCCATGTCAACTATGTATTCACCATTTGGACACTCCACTTGATATTGATGCAGATGTACCCCATTCCACCGTAAGATGCATTCACGGGCCACATCAACATTTTTTTGTAGAATCTGTTGGATTTTCGGACATATTGAGTTGTTGTAGCTTCTCATTTTGTCCCTCTTCATTTGAATTCTATGCATCAACTTCATTTGAATGCCAATCAACAGCATTAGAATCGATTTATCCCTTTCCTCAAGAATAAATTTGTTGAAGCACTCGCATAGGTTTTTAAGGAGCATTTCGCACTTTGCTTGGTCAAAAAATTGAGACCTACTCCACTCAAACGGTGGTTTGGCCTTCAACCATCCATAGGCCGTTGGGCTAGCAGTTTCAATCTTTGACATCCAGTATTTAAACGAAGCCAAATGACTTCATTTTGCAGCACCCCACAAGCAATCTTTTAAGTACTTTCCTGTAAACCCGACCCGAAAAAAGTTCTGATACATATGCCTAACACAAAACCTATGTTCTACTTCGGGAAATAGATCGGCAACAACATTAACTAGTCCTTTTTATCTATCACTCATGAAGGTTACGGACACCCAATTCTCTATAGAAAGGTCCTCAGCTAACAACATAAGAAACCAACGCCATGAACTAGTGTTTTCTTTCTCAACTATTGCATATGCAATAAGATATATGGAATCATTGGCATCAACCCCAATTGCTGCTAGCAACTGACCACCGTATTTTCCTTTCAAAAAAATCCGTCTATGCTCACAAAACGTCGACAACCTTGTAGGAATCCTCTCTTACATGCCTCAATGCAAATGTAGATGCCTCTAAGAACATTATCCACCTGAGAAATGATCACAATTGAACCCGGATTTGTTTTTCTCAATTCAGCCCCATAACGCCATAGCAAAGCAAATTGTTTTTCATCGCTACGTTCTACTAAAACCTTAGCGTATTTTCTCGAATTCCAAGCGACTACCTTAGTAATGTGCAAACCAAAATCCTTTCTCACAGTAGTTCTAAAATGTTTTGTCTTCCATTCAGGATTAACTTTGAAGTCTTCCAAATAATATTCCGCAAGCCATTTATAGTTTGCATACTTATTCGCCCGAACCTTAAAACAAGTGTGTTTCGGATCATAGGTTTTCATCTAAATAGTGTCTCGATCTTGTAACTTTGACACCCACAACTTCCATGGGCATCCATCTTTACAAATACAATGAACCCGATCTTTATCGTTTCGTTTGAAGATAGGTTCAACCCGATTGAACACCACATAATTCCTCACAACAGATTTTAGCTCGTCGAACGAAGCAAAAAGTAACCCAACTTTAAGATGCGGATTCTTCTTTTCATTTCCATCATAATATTCAGGGTAAGTCAATTGACCTCTATTATACTCCAAATCTGAACTACTGCCAAATTTTAACTCTTCTGAAGATGCATATGAAGAACTATGTAATTCAGGGTCTTCTTCATACTCCACCATAGTATGCATATCCATTTGAATACCTTTTGTCACACTACAATCGAACAGACTGCCATCATCATCATACATATCATAGTCCGAGTTATTGAAGTCTGAGTCATCTACATTTGTATTAAAAATTACATAAGTTAAGACTCCAGTAATGTAAAATAAATGATACTATCCAATTGAAAAAAAAAATTCATTTAAAATACTACTACAACCAATTGAATCAATGTAGATGGAGGATTTTTTTTCCTAACCTGTTGATTGTTTCTCAACATCTGCCATTTCGATACAAACGGAAGGGAGGCGATTGCAGGTTAGTCGAAGGTTCACTACCTATTTGCAATGGAGGTCAGCCCTAGATCGGAGATTCTTCAAAGGTTCCCAACGTTCGCCGAAGGTCGCGTTTTTAGGGTTCTCTGCAGGTTCAAATTTCTAGGGTTCTTGAACTTGGAGGTTTTATGGTTCTTGTGGTCGGGATTTGCAGGATCTTGGCTCGAGATTAGAAGCTCTACATCGTCGACTTGCAGAATCGTCTCTCAATTTTCTAGCCGGGCATTTGTCGTCGACAGGAGAAGGGGGTTTTGGGTTTCAATTGGAGGGAAATGGGGAAGGAGTTAATTAAATCACTGCCTACAAACTTTCCCCATGGTTACTACTTGCTCACTGAAATATTAAAGGTTATTCAATGCTCACTGAACTATTCATTAATTTACCCATCAATAACTAAAGCCAATTCCGTCTCTACAGCTGGACAAAAAGGTCTACGTGATGGATGGAAAAATTACGTGACAAAACACGACGTTAGTGAACCACACGCTGGATATCACAATTAAAGTTATGACCAAATTTACCAAATATACACATCAGAAAGGGAAAAAAAATAAAAAATAAAAATTACACACGCCCAACACTCCGTGCAGTGCGGAGTGTAAATTTGGCCATACCTTTAATTGTGAAGGGATGAGAATAACACGTTAAATTAAATGCGTTTTTATCCAGCATGTGGTTCACTAACGTCGTGTTTTGTCACGCGCCACGTAGACCTTTTTGTCCAACTGTAGAGACGAAATTGGCTTTAGCGATTGACGGGTAAACTAATGAATAGTTTAGTGAGCATTGAGTAACCTTTTATATTTCAGTGAGCAAGTAGTAACCATGGGGAAAGTTGAGTAGGTAGTGATTTAATTAACTCAATGGAGAAATGGGTAACTGTTGGCAATTGGGGGAGAATGGGGTCAGGGGTTTGATTTCGGTTTTTGTTTTTAAATTTTTTTTTTAGGTAAAAAATGTGTTTGCATTTTTTTAACACGTCACTAGCACTTATACGATTGGGCAAAAATCACTTACAAAAACGGCCACGTCATGAGTTCCGTCAGCCACCTCATGATTTCGGTTAAGTTTTTTGACAAACTTCTGTTTCGTGATGGATGGGGTAGCAGTATCAAAAGTTCAGTGATGAATGTCGTTGTTTTTTAAGTTCAATGACCTGCTGGAAACTTTAGGTAAAGTTCAGTGATGTTTGGGATAATTAACTCTGTATTCTTTCATAAAATTTATCCATGCACATTTTATGGCACCATTAAAACCTTTCAAGGTTAAATATTCTTAGAGTTATTTTAAGATTTTAAACCAACAAGAAGATAAACATCATCATACTTATCTGTTATCATAAGGGTTGGGGTTCCATGTAAAATTTCAACTTAAGAGTTGCATCTAAGTACTCCTAGCACCAGGCCTCCAATAGGCTCAGGAAATTTAGCCCCAGTTTGCAACCATTATCTAAAAACTCTTTTCTATATACTCATTTTCAACCACAATTTCATACAATAAAATATTCTACAAATCCAAAACGTTTTCCTACTTTTTAACCACACATTCTCCAAAAATTCACAATTCAAAACTTTGCTTTTTGACAAATAATGACCATCAAACAGGGCCTTAGTTCCTTTCTGTCATTAACACGTAGCACATGACCAAAAGTATGACCCGCTCATCAACAATTTTATTTTGATCGCTCTAATGCCTATGACCTTGGAAAATAGAAATGCTTGCTTACTTCAGTTAAGAGGGAAAAAAAAATCCTTAATGAAGCACATTGGGAAAATTCAACCAAAATTCTAAAAATCCAGCCATCTTGAGAAGAAGTATCCATAACTAGTCACCTATTCGAGCATATCCAACATACTTCAGTGCACATAACCAAGTTAACACAATTTGCTTAATGTCCATAAGATTCACACCTTCCACCATCTTCAATTAACACAGTACGTGCCGGATACAACTTTTGGAGCAAATTCTTTGGATCTCGCTCATCAACAATTTTATTTTGATCGCTCTAATGCCTATGACCTTGGAAAATAGAAATGCTTGCTTACTTCAGTTAAGAGGGAAAAAAAAATCCTTAATGAAGCACATTGGGAAAATTCAACCAAAATTCTAAAAATCCAGCCATCTTGAGAAGAAGTATCCATAACTAGTCACCTATTCGAGCATATCCAACATACTTCAGTGCACATAACCAAGTTAACACAATTTGCTTAATGTCCATAAGATTCACACCTTCCACCATCTTCAATTAACACAGTACGTGCCGGATACAACTTTTGGAGCAAATTCTTTGGATCGACATCAATATGCTCCTATGGATGACACAAGTAATTCGAAAGGGCAATTAAAAAGTAGTAAAATGGTATTACTGGTAGCTAATCACCCATGAAGTACTCAGACCAACCAATGGTTTGCACATACATCTGTGCATAACAATCAGATAGTACTTGCAATCTATGTTACATGAACACTGGCATGCAACACACATATGCATCCAAGTGTGGAAAAGTATACTATTATGTTTAAAATGAAGAGTCCATAGGCCATGCTCATGAATATCAAGATTCCAACTTGGTATGGAGCCTCAAAAGAATGGTCTATGTTACACAGGTTGCATAGAAGATAGCATATTAGAAGGTATGGTGTACATAATGACATCAGCACGTGTACTGCCCAAGATTTTGCATGATACATTTTCTTGATGGACTATTCGCACAAAATATGATATCAATACATTTGGTTTGAAAAAAAAAAAAAGCTCAAGACGTGACATTCATATGACGATGCAAATTTGGAAGTTCTTCCCTCAGCTATAATACTTCTTCACCAGTATACCATGACAACAAAAATCAAGAAAATGAAGAAACAGCAAAGTGCAAACTGAATAAAGAATTAAGAATGGGTATCTTCACTCACAAATGCAATGCACTGACAGTCTTAGCTCCTCTCTGAACAGTTATGTCATATGTACGGTCACAAAGATCTTGCAGAAATAACTCCAAAGCCTTTGCTGCATCAATTTGCCGAAAGAGTAAACATAAGACAATCTGAGAGGCACTATAAACTATAAACTTTTATAGGCAGGCAAGTAATTGCTACTTACAAACTAAAACAGGAACTGCCATTGCAATCTTCCCAACATCCTCATCAGCTTGCATTATCTTTTTAATCCGAGCCTGAAACAAATTTCTATTAGACAGGAAGAAAGAATTCAAAATCTTGTCATTAAAATGATAACACTGGAAGAACCAAATTTGGTGTCTCTAATCTTTATTAGTGTTTCCATGCTCAACTGCATAGACCACAACATATCAAGGCTAACAGGTTCGTGCTCAAAATTCAGGACTTCTAGAAATGAACAAGATATGTCGGTGTATGATACAATCAAAAGAAAATCACGCTGCTGTTAATGGTATCATTTGTCACTTTCTGGATTATTTTTGATGTTACTAATATGCCGTAGCTGTAACTGGTCTTATCATCTTCAGCAAAAGCTGATGAATATGAATATTAGTAATAGCAACAAGAAAACAGCTTATGGATAAACTGATTTGATTAACCATAAGATTCAAGATATTGATCTAATGCTTCTTAAATTTGAGTAGCCCGGATAAGCATGGTTTAATAAAACAAAGGCAGAGCTGGGATGTAGTAACTGTGCCTCAAGGTGCTACTTCTAGTGCTTTTATTTTGAGGCAGGCGCCTCATGTTTTATTTGAATTTTGAATTTTTTATTTCAAAGTTTTCAGTCTAAACGTGAGTTTCAATGATAAAGCCTAAAGGCTTTGAGTTGGGGCCATCTTCTTCTCAAATAAAAATAAAAAAACTTGGGCGCATCAATGTTGACTTAAAAAAAAATAAAAATACCTAGCAATTTGAGAACCCCACCCACAACTCACCATTCTCAAAGAAAGAAGAGGATTTTTCTCCAACATCGCAAGCCAGCAGCAGGCCGTTCTAAAAATCCAGCAGTTATATACTATTTTTTCTTCTTCTTTCTTTTTAGCATTTCATCTCCTGTCTCTCATTTTAAATCTGTTTGTTTATTTATTTATTTTTATTATTATTTAGTATTAATATTATTATTATTATTTTTTTTTTTTTTTTGGTTTTTTATATTTTATTTTTTTTTTTTTTTTTTTTTTTTTT